AAGAAAAATGGGTTAACACAGATGAGGAGAAAAGGAAACTTTTGTACACTGTTGGTGGAAATGTAAAATGGTACAGCAGCTATGAAAAAAAATATGGAGATTCTTCAAAAAAGTAAAAACAGAACTACCATATGATCCTGCTTCTGGATTTATACCCCAAATTGAAATTGGGATAACAAAGAGATATCTGCACTCCCATGTTCATTGCAGCATTTGTCACTATTGCCAAGACATGGAAGAAACTCAAATGTCCATCAATGGATGAACAGATAAACAAAATGTGCCATTTACATATAACGAAATACCATTCAGCCTCAAAAAAGAAGGAAATTCTGCCATTTTTGACATGGGTGAACCTGGAGGACATTATGCTAAATGAGATAAAAGAAAAAAAGAAAGACGCATGCATGTATAAAACCAAATATCTTTAAGCTGTATTTTAATTGATAAAAGTGAATTGAATAACTGTGTATATAAAGCCATTATTTATATGTAAAATATAAAAAAATATGTATATGGCTAAACCCTTTAAAAAAAAGACAAACAAAATAACGGGAGTTATGAACAAGGATGGACTGAGAGAATTTTTTCATTGCATCATAGTTACATAATAATCTTACACTATAAGAAATATTAGTATGTCAAAAACTAAATAAATATTTTAAAAATAAAATAGGATGAAATGTTAGCATTAATTACCTCCTGATGGTGGAACTTTGAATTTTTAGTTTTGAGATTTTTGTTGTTCTGTATTTTCATAATGTGAACTACTTCAATATACTCTTTTTAAAAAAAAGATAAATCAGAGACAAAGTCTTAAAGCAATCTCAAATTTCAAATCCCAGGTTTAGATTAGGGATTTCTCTTTGTGTATAGTATGCATTCTCATGATGTGTAATCCTAAACTGGGAAATATATTCAATATCTCTCTATGTATGACTTGTCACCCTCTTCATTCCCCCATGCCCATTTGATAAATCTTTTATACTCTCTTGTATTATTTCAAGCTAGAGACTTTTTAAAAAATCACTTCAATTAAAATCGTCAAGTCCTGTCTCTCCCAGAATTTTTTCTGGTCTAATGAACCTTTGAAACTTTATAACGGTTTTTTTTATAATTCAAAAATACAAAAAGATATGAAACTCAGAAACCCAAGGTTGGGACGTTTCGGACCAGACGTATCATTTTACTTCAAATCACACTATTTAGGTTGGTACTGCTGCCGGCCCTGAAATTTATAGTAATTCCCAAAAGAATGCTCAAGCAAATGTGAGGAAGAAATTTGGCACCTAGATTTTAGATATTATTCTCTTTGTTCACAGTCATTTAGAAAGTCTCCCTAATCAGAAAAGGCAAACATTCTCAATGTGAAGTCTGGTTTTGCATTAAGAAAGTCAGGCAATTTAATAGTTTAATTCAAAGTAACAACAAAATGTTGAAGGACAACTAAGTACATAATAGTACATTAACTTAGATGTACTGATAGACAGTGAAATGTATTTTTAGACTTTAGCACTCAATTTTACTGTAATTAATGCTGACTTATTTTGTGTTGCTATTGAATCTTTTAATTTTTTCAATTATGCCACTCAAATTCTTCTATTCAAAATTACGTCAAAACACAAAAGGATTGATTATCACCAGTAGATAATCAGTGTCTTCCTATTTTAAAGTGAATTCTGGGACCATGATTTAGAATTTATCCAAAATCTCTAGATCAATTCCATAGTTTGGATAATTAAACTCTCAATAGTTTGTTAAATATCAAAAGCCTTGGCCATGTGTGATTTAGGTTCTAAATATGGTGTTAAAAGCCCTTTTATTATATGCACACTAGCAAAGTGCCATTATCATAAAGTTTATTTGTCTGCTCGCATCATTGTTCTAATGACTCTGTAAACTTCTCTAACAAAAATGCCATTGGATGGTAAAGAGGTCAATTAACCAAAGTTCCTGTAGCTTTGAACATAGATACATTCCCAGACTCCAAAATTTCATAGGCTATTTATATATACTCTTTTGTGTTCATCATTAGCTTATTTTACCACATTATGCCTTGGTTGAAATGTGAATAAATTTCTGGTGCTCATATAAGCACATTTCCTCTGCTTTTGTGGATATGATCTCACTCATATTTTCAGCAGTACAAAATGGATACTGATCGAAATGTCTCTCATTCTAAGGCATCCTTAGCAAAGTTACACATACCTAATACATGTTTCCTACTTCTATCCCATTATGTATGTAGAACATTTCTAACTTTCTAATGTAAATAATTTCTAATGATGCATGTATCTTTCTACCAAAACAGTAGTATTGAGATTCTTTTGTCTATGTGATTTATCTTTTATTTAGGCCATTCTCATTATTGATATTCCCTTACTTTTTCTCAAAAAAAAAAAAGTTTGGAAAAATTATATCTGTCTGAACTATTAAGTTTTACAATCAAGTAAAAAGAGAGGGCTTTTGACTTTGAGTCTCCAATTTTCATATCTTAACTTTCAGTAAAACTATGAAGAATTTAAAGTAAACTCTATTTAAATTGCTTTTAAATGTGGTTTCACATTTTCTCTGAAAATGAAAACTGACTTTGTAAACTGACTTTGTAAAATGACTTAACAAAAACATTTCAAATGTTTTTTATAGGTAGATATTTTATCTAGTTTATTGAATAAACAGTACTATGTTTGACTTAATGGTACTTCAAATTAAAGATAATACTAAATATAGATATATATTCAGATTAACTCCCTGTCAATAATATCATGTTTTGAAAATTCCAGAGAGGTTACATAACCTTTTATGAACTGAACTATGACTCAGATTTTTTCTTGTAAATCTATAATATATATGATAATACCCAAATTCATTAGGCTAATGTAAAACACTTCAAATTTATCTAGAGAAGTTATGAGAGTTTTGAATAATATGGAAACATCAATTATTACAGTTCAGTAGGTGTTTTAGTCAAAGACTTTAGTGTAACATAATTGACAAATGTTGTGAGGACTAATGATATTTTACTATTATCCTTAGGCATACACTGTTGTACATATAATATTTTTAAATACAGGTAAATTAAAAAAATAAAAATAAAGAAGATAAATAAAGCACAGCTAAATGTGTACAATAACACACATATATGAACAGTTCAATTATACTCATATGCTTAACCAAAATGTATTATTAGTTTTGTTGAACTAAAAATGCACTTATCTATTTTCTTGTTTTAAAAACAACATTATTTGATATTTTTCAATTTAACACATTATGATTAAAGAATATATTTTAGAAAATATAAAAAAAGCTTGAAATGTAAGAAATAATGTTGAGAAAATAAATTAAAAGTTGTTGAGCCATTTTGCTGGTTATGAAATAAGATCCTAGATTATTTCAAAGTGAAAACGAGTAGGGTGAGAGAGAAAATATATTTCTCAGTTAGCATATTTCATTAAGTGGTGTGCATGCCTATCAACAGTCAGTAAATTTTAACTCAAGTGTACATTCAAATTATATACCTTGATTAACTATTATATAAGCCATGATCTATGACTAAGATAAGAGAGCTTTGTTTCTATGAAAACCGAGTTGAATATTTTGAGGAAACTCATTAAAAATTTTTGATTTTTTAAGAGTGCTTAATAAAGTTTGATCAAAAGAATTATAGAAATTTTACAATAAAATTGTAAAAATTAAAATTATTTTAAAACTAAGATTGTTTCAAACATATATTTAAGTTTTTACTCCACTGGAGAGAAAATATAACTGGAGAGAAAATATAACTGTAAATTGTAGATATTTATGGTAATTTTATGGAAAATAAAGCAAAAATATGATTATAGGTCAGGTAATTGCCTGAACCAAAATTCAAATATTAGAAAATAATACATGATTACCCAATTTATGGAAAAATAGACATTACAAGTTACATGAATATTATATTTCCATGACTTGATTTTCAACTTTAGATTAATTTTAAATCAACTAACAAACCATATCATATTTAATAGAAGTGTTTTTTATTATGATACTCATTGCTAAAAACAATATAGATGTTTCCTGAATATTTATATGATTGCTAATTGGAGACGCACAGGTACAATGTATGTAGAAATCAATTTAGTAATATATACCCAGAAACTTTATGTGATTGTGTCCTTTGTTTTAAATGTTTATCCTTCTCAGAATCTATTCCTAGGACAATATTATAAAATTTAGACTAAATCTCATGAGTAAATAGGTTGATTTTGAAAACAACTTAACCTTTATCATTTGGGAAATAACTAAATAAACTATATATGGTAAAACATAATAGAGTCAAATTAAATACATTTATAAAAATACGCATGACATAATTCCATTTAAGAAAAAAAAAGAATTAAATGTATAACAGGAGTTGACAAAGTTTTTCTAGAAAGGTCCTGATATTAAATATTTCATGCTTTGTGTGCCAGGATGTATCTTTTGCAATTACTCAACTCTTCTGTTGTATGGCAAAACTAGACAAAAACAATACATAAACAAATGGTGTGCCCGTGTTCCAATAAATCTTTATTAATAGAAAAACTCAGTTACCAGATTCGGTTCCAATTTATAGTTTTCCAGCCTCCGATAAAAATTAGTATTTGTACTATAAAAAATATAGTATAAAAAAATTCATAGAAATAATACCAAATATTAATTGAAACTATTTTAAGCTGTGTAATATTGTTTAAACATTTTATTGACATGTAATATGCATTTTAAAATGTACACTAATCATAGTACTCAGCCTAAGAAGTTGACAAACTAAATACATCTGTATAATTGGCACCCAATTCAAGAAACAGAATGGATTAATATTTGCAGAACTTTTCAATATTTACTTATTGTAAACATATTGCATATGTGTAATGCAAAATAAAATATGAAAACAAATATGCTTTAAAATATCCTTACTAAATTATATATGTGTGTGTGTGTGTGTGCGTGTGTGTGTGTGTGTATGGTTTTTTTTTTATCACCTACAGCACCTGGTATTCCTAGGGGGTCTCTCATCCAAGTACTAACCAGGCCCGACCCTGCTTAGCTTCCAAGATCAAATGAGATTGGGTGCGTTCAGTGTGGCATGGCTGTAGACTATATAATATTTTTATTATTTATTTCTTAAATCTTTTTTTTTAGACTGGAAGATTTTGTAATGAGAATTAACAGCAAATTGTTTCAGAGGATGTAAAACAGCTTTAGTCTCCTAAAATGGGTGACTTCTGTATTTCCTGGACACCACTAAATCGAATATTTTCTCTAGATATGAAATCTTTCAAGACTGCCTACCAACCTTACATACCCACCTATATTTAAACACATCCTGCCATCTCTAGTAATAACAATAACTTAATGAATATTTTCTGTAATTTTTTTCATGGCTTCTCAGAAACCTTAAGTTAACAAATATTTCTTTTTCCTCTTGAATATTCAAGATCTCTCTCAATTGGATCTTTCTCATCAGCTCTTAAACAAGATTAATTCTCTCCTGAATTAAATTAAATATTTTGATCCAAACCCTGACCTCAACCCAGTTTACAAGTACCACCTTATTTCTTGCTTTCTATTAAAAAACTTTTCTTACAGTTGTATCCAATAGGTATAACTTGTTCATTCATTAATTCAGTTTTAAAAAATGGGCTAGTTTTTTTATTTTTAGAACTGACTTCTAATTTCTGACTCAGAGTTCCCAGTCTATCTAACGACAGATAAATTAACTGCTTTCAGTTTAATTTAGTGATTAATGAATCTCTTTGAGATATATAAATTAGTCACAGTCTAGTTAAAATTTTCTATTTTTATTCTTTTCCTCAAGTTCCGGGTTTTACATTCAGAAGTCAGAGAAGTGGGTGGGAAGGGAAGTCATTCACCCCCTCCTGACATCAGCACAGTGTCTGGGAAGTATTTTTTTCCCATTTCATATGCTATAATTTACTATCAATGTCATCCTTTTCCATAAATAGAAAAGGCTCTGAGGCAGTCTGGAGAGGGTCAAATAAAAGAGTCCCATGTAGTCCTCTAGTGAAGCTCATCTCACAGATATGCATACTACTCCCAGTCCCCTCCAGCTGATCTTGTTATATGACTTTTTGATGGAGAAGACCTCTTGAGTACATGATGACCTAAGGATCTTCTCAATTGTTCTCCTGGCACCAGGGCCCTCTTATAACTAAGTCTACCATGCTAACATATCTCTTGTAGTTCTTGCATCCATTGATGTGTTCGTTATGCATGTAATAGTTACCATTTTCTAACCACGGCCTGGAAAATAGTGGTGGTGGTGCAGTTCATTTTATTTCAAATATCCTAAATTTTAGAAAGCATGTGTGTAAAAACAATCAAATTGATCCTCCATTTATCTTTTCTAAAATTGTGTTCTGCTCCTTCCAGCCAGAATATAGGAGACAGGAGTGAAAATGAAGTACATTCTTCTAACTAACCTAAGATATACTGCCTCCCTCTCTATAACTTAATTTTTTAAAAACTGACTCTGCATCTCAAAAGCCAACATGTTAATGTCTTTGTTTTCTGGTCATGAGCAACTATACATACCACCTCATGCACATGGTTAACAAATTTGTTCTCTATATGGATATTGGGTGCAGGAATAAAAGAAATTTAAGTTACATAAGTTAAGTATGGGTGTAAAAGAGACAAAAAGGTAGGCTACTCAGCAACCATGAGCCTAGGACAAAAAAAAAAAATCATTTTGATGAAATAATAGGCAACACTTGCTGTCAGCCAAATTTCATCCAAGAATATCTATACACACTCTTCTCATACACAATTGACAAAATAAGATAATATATGTATGCCTCATAATGTTTATATTTTTTTTAAAATGGATGGTATGTTGATAAATGCTACGGAGAAAAAATTCGGAAAAAAAATATAGAAATGTTAAGAAAGCAGGTCTCACTGAGACACTGGCATTTGAGTAAAGACCTAGAAATGGGTGAGAGAGTAAGACAGTGTTAATCTACATAAAGTGTATTCCATCTAGAAGGCAACAACATGTTGGGCATGTTTAAAAAATAGCAAGGTGGCCAACCTAATAGAAAAACAATAAATGGGGAGATATAGGATAAGAGATATGAAGTAATAAATAGAGATGATTTTAGAGAGGGAAAACAGAAGCTGGCTTTTGACATTAAGTTCAAGATGCCTATAGATATCTAAGCAAAGAAATCAAATGGGTGATTGAATTATTCTTGTCTGGAGATATAAATTTGGAAGGTGTTAGAGTATAGATGTCATTTAGAGTCAAGAAATTGAACAAGAACATGAATAAATTTGGTGGAGAAAAGAAAAGTTTCTAATAACTTACCCTCTGCAGGGTAGTGCAGACCCTAAGAGCTGAAAGACGAAGAATCAGCAAAGACTAAGGAACAATTAAATAAGAAGAAAAATTAAAAATTGCTTTGTTCTGGAGACAAAAAAAAGAAAAAAGTTTCAGAGAGAGAAAGAGAAGTTAATCAATTGTATTAAACAAATACTGTTGTGAATTGACAGTTGAATTTAGAAATATGGAGATTTTTAATGATATTAAGAACAATTTCAGCAGCTTCCTTAATGTGAATGCTTTTTTGGAGGGAGTTCAGGAGAAAATAGAAAAAGAATTAAAAAATGTAAATATAGCAAATTCTTTTGAAGAGTTTTTTTTTTCTCTAAATAGAATTACAAAATATAGTAGTAGTTATAGAAGCTGGTGGAGCCAAATAGATTTTCATTTAAATACGGAGTTTATTATATGAGAGCACTGGTGGAGAGGGAAAAGTTGATGATTCAAAAAAGAGAGGTCATAAAAATTGTGTTCAACTCCCTTAGTAAATAAATGATAATGATCTCTCTTTAGTAACCAGGTAGAAAGTTTGGCATTAGTTTTGAGCATAGAGGGTTCATCTATAGTAATAGAATATAGTAAAAGCTGAACTTAGATGCAAGTAGGTTGGTAGACCGGGGAGAGGAAGATATTCAAAGTTCTTTTCTGATCACTTTTATTTTTAGAGTGAAATAAGTCAAGATGTAAGTAGAGGTTTGAGGAAATATGGAGAACATACATAAGAGTTATCTAAGAGAGTGGGAAAATTAATGGACTAGAGAAATAGAGTATGATTGTGAGTCATTATGAAAATTCATCTAAAAGTAATGATAACAAAATAATGTGTAAGCAGTTAGCATGATTGTTCGGTTTCCTTTAGCTTGGTCAGCTACATAGTCTAGATATATTCAGAGTTGGATATTTGCAATTGTGGTTTTATCAAGCAAATATGGACAGCACAGAAGGACTACATGGACTCAAGAAAATTGAGAGAATATTCAATGTGTGAGTATAATTGACCATAATGTTTAAATTGCAAAAAACAAAAAGATGGCACAAGGGAAGTGTGGGATTGTATAAAAGCAAGAAGATTGCTATATTGTAGGTCCTGACCAAATGGAAAGATTGTTGGATACCAGAGCAAGAACTCATTGAGAAAGTTGATTGGTAATTGAGATTATAGAGAGATTACAATGATAAATTTTACAGCAAAACTGTTGAAAAGGACTTTCTGTGATGACGAAAATGCTCTGTTTGTGCTGTCCTATACAATAGCCATTAGACATATGTGACTGTTGAAAACTGAAATATGCAATATTGATTGCTAAAATAAAATCTAGGAACTATATTTGGACCTTTCTTCAATGGCTTTGCACATTATGCTCCCTGATCCTAAAATAGCTTTCCGTCTTTTTCTACATGCTTCCAGAGTAAGCCTCAGGCCTTTTAGCCCAGGCACAGCTTCCATTTCTCCTGTTCCTCCTTCCCTTACTGAGTTACCTGCCTTTCTAATGTGCTCACATGACATCTATAAATATATAGTATAGATCTATATTTTACCAATCACTTTCTTCAGCTGAGGTTCTTAGAAAGAAAAGTTCTATTTTAATCACAATATTCATAGCAACTATTATGGTGCTTGGTACCCAGGAAGTTTTTGGTATATATTTATTGAAGAAAGACAAAAGAAGATAGAATTAAAGAAGAAAGGAGAAAAGGAGAAAAGGAAGGAAGGAGGGTGGGGGGGAGGAGGGAGAGGAAGCAAAGAAGGAAGGATTAAAGAAGGAGGAAGGAAGGTGGGAAGGAAGGAAGGAAGGTAGGAAGGAAGGAAGAAAGGGAAGAAGAGAGGGAGGGAGGGAGGAAGAAAGGAAAGAAAGAAGGAAGGAAGGGAAAAATATTATGCTAGAGAAGAAAAGAAAAATATAAGAGAAGGAAACTATGGATGACTTGTTATAAAAAGATATTTTCTTAAAATCGGAATGGGTCAATATAAGGACTAGACTGTCCTGTGAAGGAGTGAGTTAAAATACTGATTAAGGTATTTAAAAAGAAAGTTTATTAGTAACTGGTAGGAATATATAAAAGATAGTTTTGTACTAGGCAACAAGCTTAACTGAATAAATTCCAAGGTCTTAGAAGACAACATTTCATAACTCCGTTTTTAAAGTTACCTAGTTTGAGAGGTTATTATACAAATTAAGACATTCTTAGGAATTCTATTGCTCTTTTTTACTTTCTTACTTTGCCATACATGAGTGTAGCCATGTGATGTATGTTCTTGCTTACCGATGATCAGCTATGAGTGTAGTTAAAATTGCTAAATGGTACCAAGATAATTTAAGCTTCACTGGTATGCATTTTAATGAATGGCATGAAGTAATCAAAAAATTGCATATAAGTTTTCTGGATATAAAATATTAAAAATATTTAATTAAAAATATACCTATAAAACAACATTTTTATCATTAGAATTTTACTAATTTCTGACATTAAGTTTCTTATGACTCATAAAGAAATGGCTCTACATAGTTACTGTCAGTCAAACATTTAAGTCATTGGAAATTATTGAGTAGAATGCCAAGAAAAAGAAATTTTTTATAAAGGTTGATGATTATACTAATTTTAACGTCAGAATGACAGGCATTGGAACATTTGCACTCATAAAATAACTGAAATATCAGAAAAACACATGTGCATAGAAATAACAGAGGGATCATGTAGAAAGAGCAGCTCTAAATGAAGCTGAGAATTTATCATTAACAGAGTAACTTCTA